CCAATCATCTCCAAGCCTTATTCACGAGTTGCCCTTTTTTTTTCTTAATTGTTCTTGCCTTCTGGCAGCTCTGCGCATGCGCACACTGGGAACAGGCTCACACTGTTCTTCTGCCTTGATGATGTCAAATTCCGGAGGCTCTGGAGGCAGCACATAACTACCAGATGGCCCTGGCCCCCTCTCTGTCTCCGATGCAGAGCCCTCGTCCGAGCCTTCCCCAGACGCCAGGACTGGCCCACATTCCTCCCCAACCTCCTTTATGTCTGAATCTGCTGCCAGCTCTGTTGGCCGCTGTCGAGCCACAACAACGTCGTATAAATGTTTGCCGTAATTTGATTAGAACCTTTACTGATTCTTCTTGCCACATTTTTATAAGAATCCCATCAATTCCTGTAACCTTCCATTTGATAAAATGAATTTCATATTTTAGTAATGGAGAGAGTATTTTCAAACGTATTTTTCTTACAGGAAACTTGTAATATACTGGTATTCAAAAAAGATGTTTCTAGTGATATAACTTAAAGATGTATTATTAAACAGTAATAAGTCTATCCTTATTTGGTACCAATGTAAAATATTCTAATTATCATCTGTCTTTTCATTTGTACATATCTGGTTTGTCTCATTGCAAAAACTAAGTAGTAGTAATTTTAGATATGCTTTTTCAAAAAAGGAAACGTTTTATTAACCCATAAAGTTCCTGTACTTGTGCCTATTATATTATATACATTTTTATTTAAGATAAAGAAGTCTTATTGAGGAATATTTATGTACTTTTAAGGATTTTTAATTCCAATGGAATCTGTTTAATGTGTAGTTAAATTGCCTATTTGTATACATGCATGCTTGTATCTATTTTATAATTTTTTTAAAAAAACAAGTTTTATTAAAATTTTTCTTTCATCATACATATTTTATGAACAGAATGTTGACCAGGTCACATCTTATACATAATCATTTTTATAATGTATTGTAATATTCCCTTTTTTTCAATATTCATCTCTTTTGTATAATCTATTTTATAGATTATAGATTAAAATCTATGTTATAATTTATGGTAGATGATTTATATATATCAGGTTGTATTATATAAACAAAAGTGTATTATAATTTTCAACTAGCAACATTCTGGAGACATATAGCCTCTAAATATAAATGCCTAGCATCCTTGACCAATGGTCTTGTTGCCAGTATTGTCTAAAGTCAGCAAGCATTTAAAGGCTATAGGTTCCCAACCCCTGATTTAGCTCAATCAATATACAGTATATAACTTAGTAAGGTCTACAGTTGTAATTACTAACCTGATTTTTTTTTTTTTTTGCTACATTATTATACCATTCTGTGAATTGTAGCCCCAATATATGTGAAAGCACTGAACTGGAGAGTTTAATTAACACCAGTTAGCAGCTATTCTCCAAGATTTTAAATATATATCTTGGATGTAAATTTGATGGAGATCAATACATTTTTTGGTTTACTGCCCTATACATCAATTTTTAGATCTGACCATGAAAACATTGAATGTCTTTTGGCTACTGATGTAACTAGTCGAGAAATTTTTAGATGTGTAATGAATCAAAACAGATTTGCTGTTCTTCCGTGATGCCTTCAATTTGATAATCCAGACCAAAAAGAACGATGGGCATTGGATCCCTCCACCCCGATTGCAGAAATGTTTGCACAATTTGTAAAAAATTGTCAGGAGGCTTATACGATTGGGACGTCAGCCACCATTGATGAGATGTTAATTGGATTTCATGGAGATGCAAATTCAAAATGTACCTTCCACTAAAACCTGACAACTATGGGCTAAAGCTCTTGCGCCTTACAGTTTCTCACAATAGCTATTTTTTCAATGGTTATTTATATTTAGGCAAGAACTCAGATGGACAATCTTTATCAGAGGAAGAGCGCAATTTTCCAAACCTACTCAATTTGTATTGGGATTAACCAAACCTTTGTTTCGTACTAATAAAAATATAACTGCTGATAACAGGTTTAGTTCGATTGAGGTAGTTCATGAATTAAGAGACAGAGCCTTGACTTATGTAGGGACTCTGAAGAAAAATAAAGCTGAAATTCCTCCTTCATTTCTTCTACATTGAAGGAAAGCTGTTGGCTCTTCCATGTAAGCATTTACAAAAGAAATAACCCTCTTGTCATATGTTCCGAAGAAAAATTGTACAGTATGTTTAGTATCCTTGATGCATCATAATGAATACACCGATCCCGATAGCAACAAACCTGAAATTATTATTTACTACAACAGTAATAAAGAAGGTGTTGATTCATTGGACCAAAAGTGTGTCATATATTCTAGTGGGAGGCATACCAGAAGATGGCTTATGGCAATATTTTTCAGAATACTGGATATTAGTTCAGTACATTCTTTTATCCTCATGTCTATAATAGTGTAGCCGAAATAGTACGTCTGTGGTTAAGGGTTAAATATGTAATTATTAATTAAAATAATTCAAAACAGAGTCAACTACATATAAATTGTCCATATAGTCAGGCTGGCACCATAGGAAATATTGTTAGCCATGCTGATGTAAGTAAGTAAGTAAGCTTTTTATTGCGGTCAGAGACCAAATTAAAATACACATAGAAGGGGAGTATATTTTACAAATATGGATAGATCATGCTGATGAATATACTGGGGACTGAAGGAATAGTTATATATCTGAATTAATTACAAACTCATTAAATTATTTACTATAAACATGACATCAGTGATAATAATGGAATCAAAGAACTTATAATAAAAGATCAAAATAATATCTCATGCCACTACTCTTTTGCTAATCCATTGCCTTTCCAGGATCTCTACTACTGATCTTTTTATTTTACTTGAATTCCTTTCTATGGCCCATCATCATTTTTCTGTTTAATAAATCCTTTAAAATATTTTATTCAAGTGTCTGTTAGAGATTTCATAATTGATTAATTCCTACTAATGTTTTGGAAAAGGAAAAATGTGTTGACTCTTAAGACATATAAATGGCAGCCTGAAGTTTTAAATTTATTATAGCTCTATATCAGGGGCGGGTTCCAAATCCTGTCGCTACCGGTTCGCTCGCATGCTCACTTTTGCTCATGCACAGAAGTGTCTGGGTGGAGCCTCCCACCGCTGCCTGTTCGCCTGATCCGGTGCGAATTGGTAGCAACCCATCACTGCTCTATATGTCCCAAAAGTGCTGTTTCAAAAAGGCAATTGGACTTTTTTTATTTTTTCCTTTGAAAATATTTCACCTCTCATCCAAGAAGCTTCTTCAAAATGTAAGTTATCTTTTGGAAAAAGGACCTTTTAAACAACCATGACCTGGATGATCAAGAATCTCTATAGTGATATACCTGTGATATACATATTGTTAATTTTAGAGTTAATTACTATTTGCAATTTTTTCAAGACTTTTGAAAAGATGTACATTTAATGTACCTCAGTAGTAATATGTTATTTTTATACTCATTCCTTTCTCCTTTCCCAAAAGAATTGTGGGACCAGGTTAACTTGAATATTTTTCTCATACCCAGAGATCAAAAGCCCTCAAAAAAAGTGTAACTAATAGAAAACATGACTTTTTCTAGTATGGAGAAAGTAATAGAAAACTTCAACTGGCATTATTTGCCTATTGTGATTTTAATGAAGTTTCTTTTTTTTTAAGAATGTGTAAAATTAAATCATTCTCAAAAACAAAATTAAAAGGGAGAGGGAACAGACATTCACAATTCCTAAGAAACCTTGTTTCCTATTGTTCTGTTTTAATTTTTGTTATAAAGATATAATTCCATATGTTTTGCCATATAAACCAGGAATAATAACAGAATACCAAATGGCATATATTTTAAATACTGTGAAGTTCAATAGGTGTACTGGAAATATAAATATCACAGTAGGCAAGCTATCAATCATTTTTTAAATCTCAAAAATCTTTATAAATTACTTGCAGGTATGAGTAAATATTTCAAATGAAGAAGATGGAGAGAATTTAAAATGAACTAATTAGAGAAATTAGGATTAAAATAATCTCATTAAGATTTTGGAAGTACCTAGAAGCTCCACAACATTTATTGCACTTAAGAGCATTTATGTATTTATCTGTATTTTAAATGACTGGCAAACACATAAAATACTTCCTCCAAGATAACATCACCTTGATGATTTTACAAAATATCTAAGCAGAATATAAATTGAAGAAGCCATAAAAGTTGGCCAGGCAGGGTGGGGGAGGGGAGCTTTAACCATTTGGTAACTGCATCTTTAAAACACCTGTTCTTTAAACACTTGCAGTGACTCATTGCTATCTAATTTTCCCATTCAACTTTCCCAAGTATGTTTCAAGTACTAGAAATGAACTCAAATGTAGTTCAAACCAAGGCACTTAAGAATAATCTTTCAAAACATCACTATAGAATACAAAAAAACGTTTTAGTAGAAATCATACAAATTTTTCAGCAACATTACAGTGGGAACATGCATCCAGGACATCAATAACTTGCACCATCTGAATTGGTATTGCTGTCCATTGGTAAAAATCAACCCTAAGAAAGGTTTTACCAGACTTTCTAGTTGCAACAAGGACATAACCCTCTTCAGCAAAACAAAATTTTAAATTTGCAGCTAAGAACTGTTACCTTAAGAACTCATTGATTTGAATAGTTAAGTGTATTTGGAGCAGCTCAGCCTATTGGCTTTATTTTAAGCAGACAAGCTGCTAGGTAGGTTTCCTATTATAACCTGTAATGGTTTCCCAAAACACCACTACCATTACCACCAACAATAATAATAATAACAACAATAGAAAAAAAAACTGTCTCCCAATCCCACCCCCAAGAATCATTCCCAAAATGATATGACATTCAACCAACAAATAATTAGAACAAAATATTGGAAAGAATAGAATAAGAAACTGAACATAAGAGATGACAAATCCCTCTCCCAGCAATGTTATTAATGTTTATATCTATATTTTATAGATAAATTACTCTGAATTTCCTACCTGAGTTGATCATGCTGTGCATTCTTTGCTGAGCCAAGAGCTGATCACGTCTTGAAACTCCATCTGAGGAAAAACAATTCACTCTCATAAATTGTCTGCAGCATATTCCAATCAGTCTGCAGTGCAGCTACATGAAAGATTCATCACCAATCGTTCAGGGATGTTGGAAACAAACCTTTCTGAGGGATTTAAACAATACTCATTGTACAACTTGCCAAAATGAATATATATGAACTACTTTCATACAGACGGATTTCTAAGTTATCAATCCAGTTCCAATTACGATGAAATCTAATTCTAAGACAATTCATTTTGTTACAGAAGAATAAATTCTCTTTCTGTGTGCATGTGTTTGTTTGTTTGTATGCATGTATGCATATATGTATCTGTGTATGCAAATGAGAGAAAACATATTATGTACCTTAGTTGTGTTCTGCATTCAAAGAGCAGGTGGAAGAAAGATAAATTTCTCTTTCAATTTATTCTTGGGAATTGAATAAAAGAAAGCCACTGAAATTCAAAGACTAGCAGGCATTTTCTAGGGATTGTATTCCCTATAGATTTCAGTTTCAATTACTCTCAACCCTGGCACATGTCATTATCCTTGAATCTAATGCTTCATCTTCCTCCTCCTGTTCTGTCTTTGCCTTCCTGCCTGCCTCTCTTCTTCTCCTTGGCAAAATTGGCTGGAGCTAGTGAGTGCTCATTTGCATACAGATCAACAACAGCAGAGCCTTAAAGCAACAGAAATAGAACAATGGCTGGTCTGAGCCAAAAATAGGTCAAGCGTGGCCTGATGATCGGAGCCTGCATGAATGCATTTAAAAATATTTCAGCAAACCCAGCTGGCGGGTCTCCGTCTTAAAAAGCTGCAGGTCTCCAATGTAATCGCTCAGAAGCAATTCTTTGTCCTACTGCCAAACCTGCATGCATCTCTCACTCTCTCTCTCTCTCCCTCCCTCCCTCTCTATTTGCATGTATGTTTACATTTCTAAATCTGTTTATGCATGTGATGGAGAGAGATCAGTATTTTAATTCCAGCCAATGACTCCTCTCTTTGGTGGATACTAAACTGGATTGACAAAGGAGTACAAAGGAAATAGACCTGTGTAAGTTCAGAAATAACACTGTGGAAGCTCCTACTCATACTGTGGTTTTTGCTTCACCCTCACACAACAAACCTGGATGTTCTATTTTTGTTTGCTGTTTCTCCTGCTTTATTGCAGAGGGTTGGCTGGCTGGAGCAATGCTATTTTGCTACTATGTAGATGCAGGGCAGGACGATTTTTATTATTTTTTTAAAAAAAGGCATTGTACCATATGGAGAAAAAACATGAACAAGAAGTTGCACTTTGATTTTGAAATGGATCATTCTCCCTTTTGTTACTTTTATATTGCATTCAGCACAGCATGTTAGAATGATGCAAGCTACAATATCCTCTATTTAAAAGAAGAAAAGCATTAAACAGTTTACAGACACATTTAAATATAAAAATAAATATTGGCTTAAAATAACTGTTTAAGTCAGCAGCATAATGATGTTTAAAGGTACTTAAGTATACCTTGCATTCTTGCCCTACTTTTTTTTAAAAAATTGAAATATATTCATCATTTATCTAACATATATTTTCATTAAAAAAATGGGTGTTTCATTTCAGATTTTTTATATTCTCACATATTTTGGACATTGACAGACATCAGAGCTTCCTAAGGATCCCATTGCTTTATATACGGTATTTTGAATAAACTAATGATATTAATGGTTCATGCTTATTTCAAAGCATGAATGCTTCGGGAAATTGCTATGTAGAAATTATGGCCCTTTCTTCTTGCAAACTCTCAATTCAGAAATATTTGTTCTTTATTAATCTGCCATATCCATTTTAGTTTCAACTGAAAGTAGATGTTCTGGTATGATCTTGTAGAATTCTCACGCTCCCTTTAGTTATAAGTCAAATGGATTCTCAGGTTCTCAAACCATGATTTTATTACCTATATCCTTGAGATTTGCTATGAAAGTTTTTAGGCTGTAACATTGTCTTTTTCACTGAAGTAATAATTCCTCTTATGCAAAGATTTCCTATTTTCCCAGGTCTTCTTATTTCAAGAGTATGTCTGTGACAGTGGACTGATAGAAGCCCTTTACACATGGTTTTATAACTGTTTCTAGATTGATAAGAGAGCCACTTGGTGGTGTAATGCATCAGGTTAGAAACTGGGAGACCATGAGTTCTAATCCTATCTTAGGAACAAAGTCAGTTGGGTGGCCTTGAACCAGTCCTCCTCTCTCTCAGCCCTAGGAGAGGTTGACTCAGCCTTCCATCCTTCCGAGGTAGGTAAAATGAGGACCCGGATTGTGGGGGCAATAAGCTGACTTTGTATAAAAAAGAACACCGCTTAGGGGGGGCCAAAAGCCCTACTAAGCAGGTATATACAAAAGTATGAAGGCTATTGCTTAACGCATTGTAAGCCACCCTGACTCTCTGGAGAAGGGCGGCATATAAATCAAACAAATAAATAAATAAATAGGAAGTACCATATTTTTGCGAGTATAAGACGCACCTTTTTATCCCCAAAAGGGGGGTGAAAATTTAGGTGCGTCTTATACACCGAATGTAGCCCTGCCCATCCACTGGCTCCCACCCTTGCAGCAGTTACCTCTTGCAAGCAAATAGCAATAAAAACAGCTCCTTTCAGCTTCAGCATAGACTAATTAGCACAAGGTGATTAGATCGGCCTCCCGACTCTCAGCTGATTTGCTCTCAGCTGTTTTGCTGCTTACTGCAAAGAGCTACATTGCTGGAGCAGATTTTTTTTTCCTTGTGCTAATCAAGCTACGCTGAAAATGAAAGTAAAGCAGGCTGTTTGCTTTTTGCTGCAGCAAGGCAAAATTACGCAGAGACAGAAGAAAATTTCTTTTTCTTCTTTTTCCTCACCAAAAATGGTAGGTACAAACAATGGGAAATTTAGGGCAAAAGAGGAGAGTTCAAGATTTTAAACACAAAAGAAAAAAAAGAGAATGAAAAGGGCAAAAATAAAAATGGGAAGGGAGAAAAAGAAATGAAAGAGAAAAATGTTATACATATTTAGAATTGAAATATGAATAGTAGTAAGAAATAAATGGGAAATCATGATTGTAAAATTGAAATGAATAATAATTGGAATATTTGTCTTTGTATTTTTGAAATCTAGACAATGATAAGTTTTTATTTTTTTATTTTTTTTAGAAATATGAATAAGTATAAACTGTAACAATTGAAATACCTTTAATGGTATATGGTGGTGAAAGTAAAAAAGGATTAAATTGTAGCTTGGATAACAGCTGGAACATTTTTAAATTTAATTAGGGAAATTGTAATGATTGAAATATTTTTAATTATATATTGTGATGAAAGTAGAAATGATTAATTTGTGATTTAGAGGATTATATGGGCAAAACTATGTGGGTTATTGGGAGAGTTTAAGATGTGAAAATGAATAACATAAGAGGGGAAATTATTTGGTTTATTATTATTGGTAAATATAATTAATTGATTTGTAAGAAATTGGATTGCATGGAAATAATTGGGATATTCATGTTCATATTGATTAATATACAAAAAAAGACAGTTATATTTATTTAATTATTATTTATTTATTACATGTATTTATATGCCGCCATTCTCCCAAAGGACTCAGGGCGGCGAACACAAGTTAAGAAACAAGTACAATAAAATCCTATTTTAAACCAAATAACTCATTAATAGTAAATAATAAAACCTGGAATCAGAGTCAGCCTATTTGTTCAAACAGCCAAGTCTTCAGGTCCCGATGGAAGGAACGGAGATCAGGAGCTGTCCGGAGCTTGGTAGGTAATTCATTCTAGAGGGTGGGAGCACCAACAGATAATGCCCTACCCTTGGGCACAGCAAGACGACATTGGCTCGCCGTCGGAACCCTGAGGAGAGCGGCCCTATGTGAGCGAACAGGACGGTGAGAGGCAGGCAGGAGAAGGTCCTGCAAATATTCCGGAACTAAATCATGTAGGGCCTTATAGGTGAGAACTAGCACCTTGAAGCAGACCCGGAGAACCACTGGTAACCAGTACAGCTCACGCAGGAGGGGTGTTATATGGGAGTAACGAGGGGCTCCCGTAACAACCCGTGCGGCTACATTCTGGATCAGCTGGAGTCTCCGGGTGCATCTCAGGGGCAGGCCCATGTAGAGGGAATTGCAGTAATCCAAGCGGGAAGTAACCAGGGCATGAGTGACTGTGCGAAGGTCATCTCGGTCCAGGAAAGGGCGCAACTGGCGCACCAGGTGAATCTGTGCGAAGGCCCCCCTGGTCACGGCCCTTAGATGGTCTTCCAGGGACAGCCGAGCATCCAGGAGGACACCCAAGTTGTGAGCCCTATCAAGGGGGGCAAGTTTTTCCCCATCTATCAAAAGTGATGGGGCCTCTGAAGCCCGAGATGCTGGCATCCACAGCCATTCAGTCTTAGAGGGATTGAGTTTGAGTCTGTTTCTGCCCATCCAGGCCCGTACCACCTCCAGGCAACAGGACATCACGGAAAGGGCATCTCTGGGGTGGTCTGGGGTGGAGATGTATAATTGGGTATCATCAGCATATTGATGATATTTCACCCCAAAGCCATGAATGATCTCACCCAGTGGCTTCATATAGATGTTAAAGAGTAGGGGGGAGAGAACCGACCCCTGAAGCAACCCACAATTTAGGGGCCTCGGGGTGGATCTCTGCCGTCCCGCCCATACAAACTGAAAGCGACCTGAGAGGTAGGAGGAGAACCACTGTAAGACAGTGCCTCCCACCCACATTAGTTAATATAACTAATTGATTTATATTAAAATGTTGAATTTGTATTAAACAATTGTAATATTACATAATTAACCAATGTGAGGATGGATATAAAAATAGATGACAATGGGAAGGGGTATAATATAGAATAGAAGGGAAAAATTGAATTTGATTAAGATTAGAGATGAAGATAAAGGGTAATATTGGTTTTTTAAAAAAATAGATGAGGAATAAATATGGCAAAAGGAAATATAGAAATTGTAAATTTAATTGAAATGACTAAACACTGTTTAAATTTGTGAACCAGCCAAATACTCTGTTCAAAGAAAATACATTATATGTTTGTATGTGTGTTTGTCTAAAAAATAAAAAAAAAACCTTAAAAAAAATCCAAAAAAGGTATGTGCGTCTTATACTCCGGTGCGTCTTATACTCCGGTAGGCTATGGCAAATGACTTCATGCAACTTGCCAAGAAAACTGCAGAGATTTGTCCAGTGATTGGACAACAAACACAACTTGAAGATACAATAGATAATATATAAAAGCTGAGTAGGTACATGCTAAAGTGACAAATTACTATCAGGCACATTCATTGGGAAGTCTAGGAGTCAAATTTCTGTAAAGCAAAATAAAGCTTGCTTGTTTACTTGATTTATTTATTTATATTTGATTCCTGCCCATCTCAAGTGACTCTGGGCAGCTTATAAAGTTAAAAAATATATAACAACATGCATATAATAAAACACTATAAAATACAAATTACCATCTATACCTAAATGTTTCTATTTTGAAGTCTAATACAATTAAAAGTCAAAAATCTTCTATATTTTGATTTCATTACATTTATTTACAATATCCATAGAAGTCCTCAAATTATATTGTTTCCTGGTGAGTCAGATAGTATGTGTAACTCGAAAAAGATTGAATAAACCCCTTCATCATAATTTATCCATAGCAATGGTAGCATGCACTTACATGCATTAGTTCTATATTTTTTTCCTGGACCATTTTGTTGGGATCAAATACCTTAGTCTCACATCTTCTTATACCTTATAATTTTATTTCATATCTCTGTGGCTATACTTTTGAGCATTCAAAACTTGTGGCAACACTTAAGTTGTTCCAAATTTTGAGATATAACACAGGTCTCTTAGAAGGATGAAAGTAAAACCAAACAAATCATCCAATCAAATCAACTTCAGTATACGTGATGCCAATAAAAACGTAAGTGCAAGTAAAGCAAAGAAACAAATTGCTCTGTTTAGAGTGCTCTTATAAAAAAACAGAATTGATGTACATATTAGAGAGAGGGAATGTAAAAATATACCTAAAAACTATTGACATGTATAAATCTTAGCACTATTTCAAAGTAGATAGCAGAAGAAGCTAGTGGTGGATAAAACAATGCAATTTTAAGGACATAACAAGTTTAATAGAACATGTTATTATGTATGAGGTATAGAAGTGTGGAAACCCAGCCCCCTCTTAGAAGAATGAAACGTTTTAAGGAATATTTAAAAAGGCAGAATATTATATTTCCCAAAGGGAGAAATGGAGAAACATGTTTTTTTAGAGGCAGAAAGCAACCCCCACTTTCTTAAGCAGATATTTTGTGCCCATTAAGAAAGATTGAGTCAGCCTATTCAGAAACCAAACTGAGGAGGCCATCTTTTAGAAATGCAGATTTGTTACTCCATTCAAGACAGGTTATTTTGAAACAAAGGCAGAATGGTAGGATTAGCCTTCACTCAAGATGCAACAGAGGGCAAAGTCATTAGGAATTGCCTAACACACTTTCAGAGCAGTGTGTTCAAACTTCAACCAAACTTGGTCAGACAAACACCTAGGATTTACTTTGCCTCTAGAGCCAGCTATGACCCCTACATGGCACCATGGGAGTCTGACAACAGCCAATAGAATACATGTTCTTCCACAGGAACAGGAAGTTCAAGTGCAAAGCCCAAAGAAGGTATAAAAACCCCTCACTCTCAACTCCATTTTGTTAGCTGCATCAGAATTATATGCTTAGCGATTCTGTTCATCATTAAACAATCTTTCCAATCAGCCTCCAGCCTCCATCTTGTCTCCAGTGCCTTTCTCCTGGCTTGGAATTGAACCAGATGGATATTTCTTCCTACAGAAGTATACTTAACCATGCCCCCTTTTCATTCATTCTTTTCCTGGGTTGATTAACATAACTTCAAAATAACTGGTGAAAATATAGTATATATGATTATTTATTGCATATTTAGCTTGCATAAAATTATCTAAATATCATTTGAATAAAAATATTAATATAAAAATAAAGCTTGTTTACTAGTTTCTTCCATGACTGCTAACAAGTCATTAACAAAACAAATTTCTGAGTGATGTCAAGAGAAACTGGAATGTTACTATGTCCTCTGCTTGAATGTGAGCAGTGTATAATCACTCTATACCTGTGAAACACAGAAAATTATAGGTTTCATTTAGCCCATAACCAACACAATTCACTGGAAAGATATATACCAGAGGTCACCAATTGGTGGCCTGTGGCCCACTGGTGGTCCATGAGAAAATTTTGTTGGTCCGCAGCACACTGGAGCTGCTCCGGGATGACCAATGGCCAGTCCTGTGACTAGAGCTCTGGAATATGGGACCAGCCAGGCAGCTCATGGTGGGACTGGAAATCTCTGCCATAGAGGGAGGTACGTCCAACTTGCAACTTTGCAGGATGTGCAACGTGCAAGGATAGGGCAGCCCTCGCTGGCTGGAATGAGGGATTGGTGCAAAGGGGGGTTGGTAGCGCAGGTGGGCCGAAGCAATGGGTGTCGGCAACCCGTGGCTCATTCTTCCCTCTGCTGTGGCTTCCTGTTGGATGATTCCATCAGTAGCTGGCCCCGCCCCTCACCCTCCCATTCACTCTTTGCCTGACCTGAGAAGGGAAGGGCGGGGGATGGAGATTCACTCCATATTCCTGAATGGATGTGAAGCTTTATCTCTTCCTGGGTCTCGTGGGTGTTTCTTATGGCCCTTGTTGGCCCTGAGAGGCCAAGGTCCATGCACTTTGGCCTCTTGGGGAGACACACAACTTCCTCTCAGCCCCAAGACACTGGCCCGGCCTGGATGTTTCTCTCTGCTGCTGCTGCTGCTGCTGGTGCCTCCATGGCCTGCCCGCTGCTCTTCAGCGTAGTTAAATTTAGCACATTTCACAATGGGGGAGATGATGTCCCCTTTTTCTCCTGGAGTCCATTATGACGTGGAGCATCAGCTGCAGCCAGGTCGGGCCAGTGCCTTGGGGCAGAGAGCAGGTTGTGCGTCTCCCCAAGCAATCAAGGTGCATCCAGCACCAACAAAGGCCACAGAAGCGCCCGTGAGACCCAGAGAACACCGGAGAATCAGAATGAGAGAGAGACAGAGAAAGAGAGAGAGAGAGAGAAAGAAAGGAGGGAACAGAGATGAGATAGAAAGAAAGAGGGGGGAGAGATGAGAGAGAGAAAGAGAAAGAGTGGGGGAGAGAAAGATGAAAGAGAAAGAGAGTGAAAGAGAGAGAGAGAGAGAGAGAGAGGGAGAGAGGGGGGAGAGAGATGAGAGAGAGAGGGAGGGGGAGAGAGAGATCAGAGAGAGGGAGAGAGAGGAGAGAGAAAGAGGGGGGAGAGAGAGGGGAGTGAGAAATGAGAGAAAGAGAGAGGGGGAGAGGGAAAAAGAGAGGGGGTAGAGAGAAAGAGGAGGGGAGAGAAAAAGAGAGATGAGAGACAGACTGTTATAAGCTGGATCTAGCCCAATAACTCAGAGACAGACTCCAACTCTTTTCTGTAGCTTTATTATTGATCTATTGGTACTGGAGGTCACTGACCTTGTACCTTTCTCTTTCAGGTATACATCTGGAATGAACTGTGGACCATGTGGTTGGACCTTTTGTACCCAGGAGGAGGGGCTAAGAGGTAAGGAGTGGTTATAAGGATTATGGGATATGTGGTTAGTTAACCCTTGAAGGTCCGGGTGATCAGGGAGACATAGTAGTTAGGCATTTATCATGACAGAACCCCCTCTAAATGCCTAACTGGGTACCTGAGGCGGTGTTTGCATACATACAGAGAATACACTGGTACAGGCATGAATTACAAGCAAACACGCATTTTTGACATGAGGTAAGCATGTTGTTTATGTGGTAGGGGTTTAGTGAGAATATCTGCTGTTTGCTCCTCTGTGTCACAGTGCACTGCCCTAATGAAACCTATCTCTGAAAACTGCCTGACGTGTTTGTATTTAATGTCAATGTGCCTAGAACGCTGACCTATGGCATCAGCCCTAGAGATCTCTATCGCTGCCTTGTTGTCTTCGTGGATAACTATTGGATATGAGGGTTCAGCCCAGATGTCGCAGAGCAGGTCATCGAACCATACTAAATTGTTTGCGGCCTTTGATAGGCAAACAAATTCTGCTTCCGTAGTTGATATGGCCACCAGTTTTTGCTTTCCAGTGTACCAGTGGATGGGGCAATTGTTGAGTAGTAGCACGTAGCCTGAGGTGCTTTTTCTGCACTCTACGTCCCCAGCCCAGTCAGCGTCAGCATAGCAGGTTAGCTTTGGTTCCTCGGATGTTTCTGGTTCTAGGCAGAGTAGGGCATCCGCACTGAATTTTAAGTATCTAAGTAGTCTTTTGATGGCGTTCCAGTGTGTTACCGTAGGTTTGCTTACATGTCTGGACAGCAGGTTGATGGCTAAGGCGATGTCGGGCCTGCTCCAGTTGGATATGTACAGCAGTGACCCTATCGTTGATCTATACAGTTTGTTGTCTGTGAAAGGTTCAGATTCCTCATACATGGTCTTCAGGAACTCGGGTTGCATGGGGGTTTCGCTGGGTTTTGCTTCGGACATGTTGCATTTGGACAGCAGCTTGATGATCTTTTCTCTCTGGGAGAGGCGGAAGCCCTTGTTGGTTTTTATCACTTGGACCCCTAGGTATCTGTCAATCTTTCCAAGTGACTTTAAGGAGAAGTGGCTACCCAGGTCAGTGGCGAACTTGTCACACCTGTTCTTGTGTTTGCTGATGTACAAGATGTCGTCCATGTAAACGAGCACACCTTCGAATGTGTTGTTTTCTCTCCTCGTAAAAAAGCATTTGTCAGCTGAGGTGGCCTCGAAGCCCATGGATCTGAGGGCCTTGGCCAAGCAGTCATACCACCTTTTGCCCGACTGCTTGAGCCCGTACAGGCTTTTGTTCAGCAGCCAGGTTTGGTTCTCGCCTTTGTTGTACCCAGGCGGCGCTGGATTTCTTTATCCAGCTCGGCGTGCAAGTACGCTGTTTGTACGTCGAATTGGAAGACCTCCAAGCCCAGGATGGTGGCCACCACCAGGGCGCTTTTGACGCTCTCCGCCCTGACGGTTGGCGAGTAGGTGTCCGTATAGTCTTCGGGGTATCTTTGGGCGAAACCCTACGCGACTAGTCTTGCCTTGTATAGGACCTTGTTGTCCTCTAATGTCTTAACCCTGAACACCCATTTGGTTCCTATTGGTTTTTTGTCCTCTGGAACTTGGGCAGGTGAGTATACCTGGAGGTTCCTTAGGCTTTCCATCTCCTTCTCCATGGCAAGCATCCATTTTTCTTTCTCTTCCCGGGGGAGCCCGAGGATGTCTTCATATGAGCTGGGCATGAAATGGGTGTTGTGGATGGTCATAACGTAGTCCTCTAACTTCTTTGGTAGCTTGTTTCTGGTTTCTCTGATTGGCCTGCTGGGGGTTGGCTCGGTTTCCTGCATGATGTCTGCCTCTTTGTCCGTCAGGTCATCTATCTTCAGTGAAGGGTGCCCTTCTTTCCAACCTTTGACGCTTGCCTTGCGATGGTTGGCTTTGTGCCCTGTGACCTCTCTGACCTCCCTTTCCCCTTGGCCATGCTCGAACGTGACCCTATTGGCTGGGATGTCATTGGAGTGTACCCTCGACCAGTTTGCGTTTTCGTGGAAACTGGCTGATCTGGAAACCACAAAACGGTTATTGTTGTCGACAAATCTGTAGCCCTTTGTGCCCGGTTCGTAACCCACGAACCTTAACCTTTTTGATAATTTCTCCCCTTTTCTTCTTAGCTGTCTGGGAATGTGGACATCAGCTGGGGCGCCGAATATGTGTAAGTGTGCAATGTTGGGCTTTCTGTTGTATAGCATCTCGTATGGTGTCTTATTGATAGAGCTTGACCACAGTCTATTCAGGGTGTAATTAGCGTAGTGTAATGCCTCTGACCAGAAATGCTGCCCCATCCCAGCATCCTCCAGGGCGCATCTCATCATGGTTTGCAACACCCCGTTTTTTCTCTCTGAGACTCCATTTTGAAAGGGGGAGAAAGGTGAAGAGGTGTAATGCGCTATGCCCTGCTCCCTCAGCCACCTTGTGAATTCTTTGGCCATGAATTCTGAGCCCCTATCAGTCATTATCTGCCTTATTCTCATGTTATGTTGCATATCTACTCTTCTGTGGAATTCCTTAAACCTTTGGAACACTTCGTTTTTGTGTCTGAGGGAGTAGACATACCCGTATCTGGTGTAGTCATCCACAATCGTGAGGAAGAATCGCTTCCTATGTCCTACAGAGGGTTTCATTGGCCCTACCAAGTCCATATGCACCAATTGGAAGGGGTATTCCATGGTTCGTTTGGATCCCCTGGGGATGGCCTTAACCTTGATCTTGGAACGCTTACAAACTGAACACTCTAAGTAGTTTTCACAGTTCTTTACTTTGAGACCTTCGGTACATTCCGTCATTTTCTTTACAATGGGGAAGCTTATGTGTCCCAGTCTCCTGTGGAGGAGGTGGGCGCAGTTATCATGCAATGGCTTGCATGATAGATACAGACTTGTTTGTCTTCTCATGGCTACATCCTGCCTCCTGCTGCACCCCTCTGTTTCTGGATACTTATCTACCTTGTGGTTTGTGCTGGCATCAATGCCTTCTTCCTCCCTTGCGTTGGGTGTGAAGTAGGGAAGCCCCTCGTGTATGGTTACCTTTCCTATCTCTTTCCCTTGCTTGATCAAGTGTGCCTTTCCATCTTTAAATTTTATTTCTATATTTGTGTCTCGTGTCAGCTTTGTGATGGCTAGCACGTTGTGGGGAATTTCTGGTACGTACAGTACTCCTTTTAGGTCCCCTACCTGTGTGATGTGTACGTTTCCTTTCCCCACTACTTTGACCTTGCTTTGGTTTGCCACCTTTATTTCTGAGTCTATTTCTGTGAGTGAGTCTAGCAGCTCTGGGTTACAAGTAGTGTGACTTGTGGCCCCTGAATCCAGGAGCCATGTGTTTCTCTCTGCCTTATGTTTGTCATTTGGGTCATCGTGCCTGATCCCATACATGGAGCCAGAGTTACTGTCCCTGGAGTGGTCTCTGCGCTCGTGGTGTTTCCTGGGGTTGGGTGACCACCCTCGCCCTCTTTCCTTTGGGTGCCTGCGTTCAGGTGACCTTCCCCCTCTACTGTCGTGCTGTCCCCTATCCCTATGGTTCCTGGGGCAATCCTTCTTTAAGTGGTTCCTTGATCCACAAGAATAACATTCTGAGGTATCCCTGGCCCTATCCTGGAATTCCACCCTCTTTGTGGGTCTAGGGTCCCCTTTGGCTAGTTGGCGTTCCCTCCTCAGAGTGTCCTCTGCAACGAGCTGACTGGTCAGTGCGCCTAGTGTGAGGTATTGCAAGTTGAGGCTATTTAGTTGGGTCATGAAGATGTCCCAGCTGCTATCAAGAGAGTTTATGATTATGCTTATCATGCTCTCTTCAGTGATGATTTCCCCCCCTCTGCATGAGTTCTGCCCTTGCAGCATTCATTTTTAAGATGTGCTCACTCATGGGGACCCCTGCCTTATGCTTGGTGGAGTGGAACTCCCTAGTCTAGTGGTAGTGGCTCTGCTTTGACTATAAAACAGGTTACATAGTTTTTGCATAATATCATAAACAGTTAGATTGTCCTCAATAGATGGATACATAGCAGATGGAATGGAGGTTAACATGATACAAAATGCCCTGTGATGAATGCAGTCAATTTCCAGTGACCAGGGCTTTTGGGGAGGTCTGTTAGCTAGGAACAGTGCATTCTCTCTCATGAGAGCAACTCTTAATTGCTGGCTCCATTCCATAATATTACCCCCATC